CACCATTAGAGCTTCTCACCATTAGAGCTTCACACCATTAGAGCTTCTCACCATTAGAGCTTCACACCATTAGAGCTTCTCACCATTAGAGCTTCTCACCATTAGAGCTTCTCACCATTAGAGCTTCACACCATTAGAGCTTCTCACCATTAGAGCTTCTCACCATTAGAGCTTCAGAGACATAACGAAACGTTGTTGTTTGAACTTCAGTAAAGCTCTCAGTGCTGGTTTATGAAAACTCCAGCTGGAGGTCAGACCTTCTCCTAACAAAGCTCGTGTTTGTCCTCAGGGTGATCGGGTTTGGTTACGGGAGGAGGAGCAGTACCTGCCCAGCTCCGTCTCTTCTTGTTCCGGGGGAGTTGTTGTCTTTGCCACAGACTACGGCCAGGTAAGTTGTGAATGTTTACACCACTTCACCTGATGAAGCAGGAACTGAACCTGCAGGGTTCGTTTTTACTAACATTAACTCGTAAAACATCAGAATTCAACCAGATACAAAACAAAGAGATTCTTTGGCTCCTGACCACCTGCCTGACAAAAGTCCTCACTTGTTCACCTGATCAGGTGATCAAATAAGGAAGAAACGTCCGTCCGTCCGTCCGTCCATCCATCCATCCATCCATCCATCCATCCCATCCTTACCAGGGGTGTAAAACATCTGCACACCATCAATGTCTTTAATTAACATATAATAATATTTTAGTCCCAGAGGGGGTCATGCTGTGTTGATGAAACACCGTGGTTTGTTTAAACCAAGAAACAAAAGTAAACATTAATATTTTCACTGTTGTATTAATTATTTCTTTGTACCCCGTCCTGGAGCAAAGAGGGGATTTAGAAACACCCTCCATCTGTCTATCTTGTGAACATGATAACTTGGTGTGTTCCTGCGTCTAGGTGTAACTGTACTGAAAGCTCAGGGGCCGGACATCCAGCAGTTATTGTCACTAAATGTTTGTTTTATGGTTTAAAATCCATTTTTATTTAAAAATGAACCCATTGTTGGGCCGAACTGAGTTCACCCGTGCACCTGATTTGGCCCCCAGACCACCATTTGCATAGCCCTGTTCTAGATTTTATATTGCTTAAAAGTGTTGTTTCTTCAAATGATAGTTTTTTGTTTTTTTGGGGGGGGGCAAGGCCACCTTTGGCCACCCTCTGGCTCCACCTTTGCACCTGGTGGTCGATGAAGCTGCTCCCTTCACTGGTCAGGGTCCGTCACTTTGCACGGCCTCAGACAAGCAAACAAACAAACAAAAACCCTTCGTATACACAGAAAAACACTCATCAACCGGGGTTGGGGGGGGGGGGGGGTATGCTAGTAAGCATCACTCTACTTTTGTAATTGAATAGAATAGAATAGAAACAGCCTTTATTGTCCCACGAATGGTAAATTCAAGTGTAACATCAGCAACAGATAAAAAGATTCACACAAAAGTTCCTAAATGTTAAAAACAATATATAAAGAAATAAGATAAACAATATCAATAATAATGTTCAATATGTATTGGAACATTAATAAGGACAGACTATTGACAGTACAGTATTATAGGCAGAGTGTGTGTTTTAGCAGAGGTCAGCATGTATTCAATCCTTATTGCTGGGGGTAAAATAATGTTTTTAAGCTGAATAATGCGCCTCGGTTTAGCTGCACGCAGACTGATTTCATGTTTTATTCAGTCGATTCTGTTTTGATGTGTTCAGTCAAATCAACATGTGTTATTAGAACAAGTTTTCTTCCAACTTTAATATTTAGATGAAATAAAAATGAAGGTTTTGTTCATCTTTTCTGATTTAGTCATCGTCCTGGAACAAAACTCGAAGTGAACTTGACTCTCGGATCTTTCCCTCACCTGCTCACACATGGCCAGGACTTAAAGAGGTCCTACCAAGGGTCTGGGATCAGCTCAAGAACCTGCTCCGGTTCTGCGTTCCGTCTTTGTTCTGCTTGTTGCCCAAACAGAGGATTTGGAGCAGGAGTCAGAGAGGCTCTGAGGAAGGTTTGAGAAGTTAAATCGTTTCCAAGGGTCAGCTCTTGACCTCTGAAGTGTTTAGAAGGAACCAAGAAGCTGGTGTCTCCTCCGGTTCACCTTCATCTGCTCTGATGCTCAATCTAACCACACATTTTACTGCTCCGGCTGCTGATACTGGAATAAATCAGCAGTTTTCATTTCCACTTCTCTAACATCTGGAGACACCAGCTCCACAGGAACAGGCAGCCCTGAAAAGAGAAATGGATGAGATGTTACGATGATGAGATGTTGATATTTTAGAACAAATTATATTCAAACTTTTGTAGCAAATAATCGGGGATTGTATTGATGACTCCAAAGCAAAATCTTTGCTGTGGGTTCAAGTCCAAATCGTGTTTTCTTGGAATATTCTCATGCACAACACCGACTTTGTTTTTTGTTCGTGGAGTTCATCTTACGTAAAAGATTCACATGATGTCCTGTCTGTTGATCCCTCGTGCTGCGCAGCAAGTTCCCATGAAATCTGCAAATTTGTTGTCTCATGCTCAGCGACGCTCAGTGACTCTTCAGCGGGAAAAGAAAAGCTCTCTGCCTCTTTACCCCGTCCAACATTTTGGATCTGGTTCGTTTTAAACCTGAATCAGACTTTAGTTTATACCTGGCAACCCGCTGACCCTTGTGCCCCATCTTTAACCTGAATCAGACTTTAGTTTATACCTGGCAACCTGCTGACCCTTGTGTCCCATCTTTAACCTGAACCAGACTTTAGTTTATACCTGGCAACCTGCTGACCCTTGTGTTCCATCTTAAACCTGAATCAGACTTTAGTTTATACCTGGCAACCTGCT